TGAAGTCTTATAGATGACTAGTTTTTTTACTTAGCAATTTTTTACACGGAGTTCGACGAAGTGTTTTTGTTGGGATTTATTTAACAAAATCCGAGTGTTATGAATTYATTCACACCTATAAGGACCCTTATTATAATGATTTGGAGTAATAACGCATATATAACAATACATAATATATATAATAATAACATATACATATATAACAATACATTTCACGTTATTCTTGTTTTTTTTTTTTTTTTATCAAAACTTTTTAACCTACTCGATATTATTTTAAATACATGAATTTTTTAGTTCTTAAATGCATGGTATAAAATTAATTCTATGATTAAAATAAATAAATAAGTGTTACAACATCTAATTTGCATTTAAAATTGTTATAGTAAGCAAACTATATCACATTATATGGTTACATGCAGTCTAATAATATTTTACTGGATAAAATAAATTTATAGTTTTTGAATATACGAGACCAGTTAACAAAAATCAAAGTTTTAAATTTATAAAATATAATGGTTGTTAAAAAGGGTCTTTTAGTAAAAGTTAATATGTGGTTTAAACAATTATATTTGTTACCCACATGTCAACATGAAGCATGTAGTTTCGACCGTTGAATATGTTTACTACATATATGGTTAAATTTAAACGTATATTTTTAAATTTAAAAAGTTAAGATTATTAGACTAAATGTGAATACAATAATTAACCAATTAACACGATTGATTGATAATTATATAAATAAAATAAAATAAATATTAATTAATTAGTTATTTAGGATGCTGATTACTGACTTTATTTAATAATGTTAGAGTTAATGAAAATTGTCACATTTAGAGATAGAATCAATTATTTTTGAAAATTAATTATCAATGATTCATATAATATCGCTTGATATTGAAAGTGAGTGTTTTTATCTTCAAATAATTCAAAATTATCTTTAAAATCGTGGAAGTGGTATTTTTATTGATGAAAATAATGTTCTGATGATAAATGAGTGGGTTATTAAATTCTGTACAATTATCGTTTAGATCATGATGATATCTTGACGTTTTCTAAGCTTTGAGGTACACTATATATTTTTTTTTACAAATCTTTAACAGTTTTTAGTTTTTTGATAAGTTAAATAAAATCCTATGAACGTATGTTAAAAACAAATTAACTTAGTTACTAATAGACATAAATATACCATAAATGCATACGTTTATACGGAACAATTAAGTTTAATTTCATTAGCTTTCTTTCAGCTGCTTCATCAGCCATTTAATTTCTCTTTGCCCCGATAGAAGTGTATCTAAAGAAATTAAATTTAATGTTCCTGTGTGCGTTTATTAATTCAGCTTGATTATTTCTGAAAGATTTTATAGTGTTGTTTAGAGCTCCTAGAGAACCACTAAACATTAGTATATTAGATTTAAGGAGCKGGTTGTATAGTCTAATTTTGCTTAAAGTATGGCGTTTTAATGGATATGGTAAAAGTATAATATGACARTTATTTAAAAGAGTTTGTRTTTAGATAATAATTTGTTTTACACTTCTTACAAAATCTACTCCCCGTTTTTACATGGAAGTGTYAKTATATTATATATTATTGTGGTTAAAATTTTTTATGTATTTATAAATTTATTGAATATTTTATCATATGCTCAATTCATAAATCGTGATTTTTATTGGTTCATTGATATTTTGGATATATGGTTTGGTTATACACAGAGATTTTGAGATATTGAACAATAATTATTATATTKTTGACAATATTATTTCTAAAAATAAAAATGAAAACAATATTTGGATATTCTGGATGCAAACTTATCGTCTGATGGGTTTGTGATTGAGCTTAAAACTTTAAATTATTCAATTTGTGAAATGCCGTAGAAGGTATTGGAAATTATAGCCTAATCTTCATTGAAAAAGAGAAAAAGCAGTAGTTTTGGTGAATGTTTTTGAATATTGTTATCGTTTTGTTACCGGATCTTGGTTTTAGTTTGAATACCCAGTTAAACTATTTTTAAGTTAAATTGAGGTTTGGTTTTTGTAGTAAGTGCCCACGTTTGATATTTTTACCACGTAGRAAACTATAAGTGAACGCATATTTATCAATACGCCAAAGTTTGTACATTTTAAAGAAGAATTTAAAATTTAAAACAACTCACTGTTTGTCTGTGACCGAGTTGTTGAAGAGGGTGAGTCTGGGTACTGGGTAAACGCCAGAAACCATGCAAGTTACCCGTATAGTATCGTTATTGACTCTCTTTTGATATACGTCAAACTTCTTCTCCGGAGCTGGAAAAAATAAATAAAATTACTTACTATCTCTGGTAGATACATTATAGCGGAATTTTATGCGTTTGGAAGCCATTTACAAAAATAAATAAACAGAAATATCCTAATCACATGAACGAGATATGAATAATAATTATACACTTAAAAAAAAAACCGTACGGTTAATACTTGGAACGAGCTTAAGCCGAACACGAAAAACGTAATCGGCATACAGAGGTAGCTCAACTGTTAAGCCTTCTGCTCTAGAGACTCTGTGTGTGCGTGTGTATGCGTGTGCCTTTAACCGTTTAACGATGTATTATTTTATTAAGATTAAAATTAAAATTTTCATTATTATTTAAGGAGTTTCTTGTGAAATAGGTACAATTTTATTTTTTTTCTTAAAAAAAACTCATTTTATTGCACATCGTTGGATAAGTATTTCGGATATTTAGAATATCAAAATTAGAACGATTTATCAAACTTGATTTACCTACTATGATAAAATGATCTATAACGTACTAGATAAAAAAAATAATATAATAGTTTTAAAATTATAGTAATTAATGTAAAAATATTAACATTTTATTTTCATAAAATTATTTAAGTAAAATAAGTTCTATGCGTTATCTATGCATAATTCTTTATGCGTGTATGATATCCATACGTATTTTTTATTTATTTATGAAACCCTTTGTAAGCATAATAAAAAAAATGAAAAAGATACATACACTTAAATATCTCTTTAACTAGGGACAATGCAATAACCCCAAAATACTCCTGATGTCATAATAATTGTGAGAGTATTAAATTTTTAATTTATGTTTAGTTAGAAATACAACAAAATGTGCATATTTGAAGGGAAAATATTCGTGAATCACTTTGTAGGTTTATAATAACATTATACCGTCGCGTATTCGTCGCCGAATAGGTTTTTTTTTTTTGTAAAGTTCATGATATTCTTTCTATTATATTTTTCATCAAAATAATAAAGTCACTGAGAACGATAGTGTTTACGTTCTTGGTTATTAACTGTTTTTTACTCTTTTTTTTTTGTTGGAAAATTAGCTTGAAGAGGACTGGTGCTCCAGTGATGACTGGTATCGAAGAGAGAATAGTGTCGGCTGGCGTTTCATTATAAATATAAATGGCTAACGACTTCGCAGTCATGTAGTTTCACATTGCGCACGTGTGCAGCGTTAGTCTAAGCGTACACATATTTTATATATTTGTATATTACATAAATGAATGTGTGTGCGTCTACTCTCGTAATAATATTATATTTGTCCTGCTATCACTCCGCATAGTTCCATATTTTTATCTCTTTCACTCACTTTAAAATGTTGTCTTCATTTTCCTTACCTCCAAACTTGCTTAAAAACGATACTCCTCGCCATGGCAAAGGCTTTTTTATGGCGACCAGCCAAATACGCACCGCATGTATACCGCCAGTTGCAGCTGTATATACCACCAGCGTGCTTGCAATACAATATGCGAATATAATGGAAACCCATTGGTCCGCAGTTGCGTGGAGTGGCAGTGTGGGCACTGCAGTACTTTGCGCTTTTGGCAGCTAAGTAATTTTTATCCCCCCCCCCCATCTGCCCAACACTGAAATCGTCGAGATATTACATGAAAAAACTGACGTTCGTGTCCTGAGTTTTACATCGATATTATCATCTCCAAGGGTGGATCCATATGAGGGTGCATGATTGAGGCGTAATATACCTGAAATCTTCTATCTTAAATACTTTTTCTGCGATACCTAGATATCCAGAAATTTTGTAATATTCGTAAAACAAAGTGTAACATTTAATTCGTGTCTAACGTATTCTTAGAAAACTTAATATTATATTTAGATTAAACTAGTAAATGGAAATAAAACTAATAGAAAAACTCAAAATGATAATAGAATAAATATATAGTATAACTTTAGTATTATTACAGAATACATCGAAAAAATCTGTCTGTAATGGTAAAACTAAAGTTTTTTTATGATATAAACAGCGTTAATGTACGTATAAAATTAATAATAAAAAAAAAAAAGTGGGCTAGTAGGTAACCTCTGTACTGTACAGTAAGTATTTAGTGTGTCTCGTTGTTGGATGGGTCATTGTAATGGATGCGTTGAATTCGAAATCAAACAGAAATAATTATTGTGTAATAAAAAGATTTTGAGTTGAGACCAAATGATGTTTTATAATTACAAAAAACTAACAGTGTATTATTTTTGAGTAGGTACACTTATGATAATTTATAATATTGTCATTTTTTGTGTAATATCTATGACTTAAGGTAAGTACTATAGTTTTAAATTTTCTAAAATAAATAAATAATTTTTTAATGTTTGATAATTGCAGTGTTTTTTAGTTAGTCGTATATTTTTTTCTTTGGTACTTTCTGGCATTCGTCTTGAGTATATTGTATAGATATTTAATCCCTTGTTACTTATGAAACAAACTAGATGACTAGATATGGCATTGTTAACTTCAGCATATAATAATATACAAACGTGTGAGTGATAATATGGACTGCGTGTGGCGTCCACGTGCAGGTCATCGAATCGTTTGAAAACCCTAACGGATTCAAATCGAAATTAAGGCAACGACCACGACGACGGATCAAGATAACTGTAAATAATTGCATACGATGTGTGATATAATATGTTAATTTGTATAAACTTGCTGTATTAAAAAATAAAAATATTAAAATGCGCAAGCGCATGGCACATCACAACCTGTACATATTAAATTATGTTTTTCGAACAGATTTTTATTTACGATCAGCGTATATATGGTTTAGATGAACGCATGCGTAGATACAATATATCCTTATTATAYACTTGTATGTACATAAACATTATATATAAATGTACATATTTTATATATGCACATATATATACAAACTCTACTACTGAGTTTTTTGTTTTCCCACAGGAAAACGGGGAAAACGCGTTAGCCCACGTCGTTTATAATATAATATAAAGGTATATAATATTGTGATAGTTGGACGCCACAGCCACAGTGTTGAAAAATAAATAGAAAAAAGTTAACAAATAATATTCATTCATAAAAGATATTTATATAAATGGAGTATAGCATAATACGTTTAAAGTTTGTTATTTGTATTTGCCCGTGTTTACTTTGAGTACGGTACACATTGAATTGAACAGCATCAAAACGTTGGACGCCGCTTATCTCTCTCTCTCTCTCTATGTATATATATATATATATATAAGGTATCTATTTATACCAACTGACGACCAACCACGCAGAAATAAAATATTAAGAGCCATGAAGTTCGTATATGTATAAGAGTTGTAGAGCACAGATTATGTTATTATTATCATTATTATATAATATTATGTATGGGCATGAGTTCTGACATAACGTTATTATTTAATATGGAGTACTCTTTTTTCCTGTTTTTTATTTTTATTTTTATTTATATATAATAATATATAATATATCAAAAATAATCTTTTTATTTATGGTTTATTGTCGATCATTTAATAATATTATTATGCATAAGATAACGATAATTCAACAACACTCTGGTGGTTGTTGGCGAGGCAAATTCATATTTATAACGTTGGTTTGGCTCACAAGTTTTTCTCTTAATTTTTTTCAMCCGAAGGATAACCGATCAATACATTACACTTTTCCAAATTGATATTACTTTTAACCGAACCACTGAGTTCTTAAGTTTAAAATGTTCATAAATTATTTCGTTTGTTTGAAATGGGAATATGGGATGAAATTGATAATATCGTTAGGTATTATACGTACGCGTGATATACAACAGCGAGCGGAGGCGGAAAATGAGGGAAGTTTTTAGAACAACGCGAGAGAGTTAAAGGGTAGTCATCATAAACTACTTTGGAGGACGTAAAATAATGTAAACTATTTTTTTCCCAAGGTTTTCAAATTTAAGTACGTTTTTGCCAGTTACTGGGAACTTTCATGGACGCATAATTTACCCCCTGAGCTTCTGGTCTGTGTTGCCATCTCTTCGGGCCACGAGTTAGCACGAGAGGTACAGCCTATGGTGGCCGCAGCGTGGGTGGGGGCACGAAAAACAAATGGTGCTGTCCACGAAATGTCAACGTGAAAAAAAAAGTGAAAAATAAAGGACTTCGAACGAGTGCATTGCATGACAAATAGGCCGGAGAGTAACTTTGTCGATTTCGTTCGCACTAAATTTAAACGCAACAAAACGACCGTAAAGCGTCACGACACGTAATTTTTTTCCTACGGCCCAAATTGCGTAGGGGAATCCCGGCAGCCTTCCGTTTCCCTTGCCCGTTGTCATTATTTATTTATTACGTCAACCCGACCTTCATTACAGAAACACTATTATAATATATTGCGTTCATGTGTACACGTATATATTGCAATATATTATAATATGCGACTACGACACTTCGAAGGCGGCGACGACAAAAAACCGTTACCGTTTGAAGGGTAAGAAAAATACTACGATCGCCAAAAACCCAATATACTATACTTTCTATAACCTCATCATAATTGTAATATAATATACACCAGCTAAATACTGTTGGCCACGTGCGTGCGCACCGGGTGCGCTACCTATATGGTTCAAAAAAGTGATGGATTTACAAAGATCGACGTCAATACATCCCCACCAGATATCGTTACATATTATATTGTATGGAAATAGTTTCAATAAATAATAATATTACTTTTTAAGTACATAATATTATTCTTTGGAATCCCCCTCTCACCTAGAAAACTACCGAGTTAACAATAAATTCCCTTCTTCCTTGTTGATTTGCATAAACAGTATTACGAATTATTTAATTTATAATTTTTGGGGTAGCTCGAATTTCGATTCAATATCATCTCGTTCGATATTTTTGATCATATTGCTTATATTTAATTTTTATCATAGATTTATTTTTAAAGATGGTTTTTCTAAGACGTACTTGCTTATCTGTTTACCACTCATAATATTTACATCTAATTTAATAATGGCTAGTACTTATATGAGACTTT